AGGGAGCTCATCACCAGGTAGCTCACCACCAGGGAGCTCATCACCAAGTAGCTCACCACCAGGAAGCTCGTCACCAAGTAGCTCACCACCAGGGAGCTCCACCATCCTCTCCTGGGAGCAGGCCAAATGATGAGGCACTTAGCAAAAAAAGTTGATACATCACAAAAATTGGTACGTGACCAGAAACGGTTACAACAATTGGCGCCATCTGTGGGATCACGCTACAAAAAGCTATGTTTTCATCCTACAAAAGCTAAGTGCTCTTCTCCTAGAAAGCTATGTCCTCACTTTTTAGAAATTGAAGCTCTCGCTTTATAGTTTACATTTTTTATGAACTCAAAGACTATGCAGTGATCTAACAGACTAAGTTTATTTTCAATTCAGTTAAAGCCTGATTAGTCCTCTTTGCAAGGTCCCCCCTACAAAGATGAGCTCTTCATGGCTTTCGCTGGAGTTGGCGGCCAACAGACTACATAGGCGTCTTTACTGGTCGAGCCTTCCAAGGCTCCCGTGTGAGCTGGCGACCTAAAGTTAGTAGTGTTGCCCCCGAAGGTCGAGCTCCTAGTAGCTTCTTATAGGAGTGGGTGACCGGCATTACGAAGCTGATGCAGCGCAATCATAGCTCTAAGGCACCCACCTGATCGGCTTGACACCTTACAGGTTGCTTGGCATCTGGTCAGCTCAGCACCTCACTATTAGCTCGGCACCTGGTCAGCTCGGCACCTTGCAGGTAGCTCGGCACCTTGCAGGTAGCTCGGCACCTCGCAGGAAGCTCAACACCTGGTTAGTTCGGCACCTCACAGGTAGCTCGGCACCTGGTCAGCTCGACACCTCACAAGTAGCTCGACACCTGGTCAGTTCAGCACCTCACAGGCAAAGCCTACGGGCCACATTACTACTTAAGACCCAGTCGCCTCTTCGGCATGGGCAAAGTCAAAGAAGAGTGGACTACGAATCGCTCCCAAAGCCTATGGGCCACATTACTACTTAAGACCCAGTCACCTCTTCGGCATGGGCAAAGTCAAGAAGAGTGGACTACGAGTCGCTCCCAAAGTCTACGGGCCACACTATTGCTAAATACCCAGTCGCTTCCTCAGCATGAGCAAAAACTGCAAAAGTGAACTATAAGTTGCCCCCGGAGCTTAAGGGCTACACTACTAAACTGGCGAAGACCTCCTCACCTTACAGGCAGCTCGCCACATACAGGCAGCTCCCAAAGCCTAAGGAATTGGATCAGCACTTACTATCTCGTCGACTTACGGGCCAAAAGAAGAAATCTACTCCCTTCGCTGAGTTACTCTCAGCTTGGGAGTGGGGGGCAAATGATGAGGGCGGATTTGGCCCTCCAGTGAAATTGTGGCACCTGGCACCTCATGCAAACCAAGTGCAACCTCTTGACAACTGGGTAGCTCGGGAAGCTCGGGCAGCTCAACAGAGCTTGCCACAACTTGCCACTTACAGACAGCTCGGCAGAGCTCGCCACAAGCAGCTCGGCATAGCTCGGGGAGCTCGGTATAGCTAGGGGCAGCTCGGCATAGGCAGCTTGCCACTCTGCAGGCAGCCTGGCGTCTTACGAAGAGCTCACCACTTAGGGGCAACTCAGCACTTACAGGTAGCTCGACACTTAGGGGCAGCTCGGCGTATCGCAGGAAGATCTCCTGCCTGACAACTGTACTTGACAGATCCGGAGACCTATGCCCACGTCTCTTGCTAGGCGGCGCCGTTCCTGCCAATCCTGAGAGCTGTCCCTTGACTGGCAGAGCCGTACTCTGTAGCAGCCGCCTGCACCCGCCACCTTTGCTCTGGCAGTAACGGCTGCGGCAGAGAGACAGAGGCGGTTATGCCTGACTTGATAGAGGCTGTTATGCCTGATTTGACAGGACACCACTATATAAGGACTCCGACCCCCAAAGACAAGGGAGAGAGAATGAAAAAATGGAGGTAATCCATACTCTCTAGCTCTCTCATTTCTCTCCAAGCTCCC